GGGGCTGGGGGCTGGGGAGGGGCTGCGGGCCCTGGGCCACCGCGTCTCACCCCTGGACAGGACTGTAAGCAAGCCCGCGGGAGCACAGCTTCCTCTCGGGCTGCGGGCCCTGCAAGGACAGAGGTCCCCCACCTCCCGCTCACCGAGAACCCCGTGTGACCCCGCGGCTTCTCAGGGTGGCGGAGGTGAGGCATCGGCTTCGGGGAATGGAAAGGCAAACGCAAGTCCTCAGGTGTCACTTGTAAGTGACACTACTGGCTGAGCCCTTTACGGGACCGGATAAACCAACGGGAACGAAGCGGTCCCGCCCCGGGTGCGTGGGAACGGGGTTGGCGGGTAGTGTGGGGGCATCTCACCAGCCCTCGGAGAGGAATCCTCCTGTCCATTCAGAGCCACAGACATGTCCGCATGCTTGACCCCGGGCAGATGATACAGCCACCGCTCCCCACCTCCACCGTGCGGGGGCGGGGTGGGTGGTATGAAACCTGTGTTCATGAAGGTAGACATCGAAGTATGTATTCATAGCCATTCACAGAAGAGTGGCAGATTGGGTCATAGGAGCGTGGAGCTGAACATGGGGCAACCGCTAAAAAGGGTAATTGTGTGTTGGTAACAGTTGCATCTGTGTAATATCTGAAATGTGTCTGTGGTCCCACCAGGCAGAGACCCTGCTGGAAAGGTGTTAGAGGAGTGGGCTTCCAGATGATTTCTTCTTCATCTTTAAATGTCCACTGCAAAAATATCTGCTCGCCCTGGCTGGTTTGACTCAGTGGATAGATCGTCAGCCTGCGGACTGAAGGCTCCTGGTTCTGTTCCCTCCAAGGGCACAGGCCAGGGTTGCAGACTCCATCCCCAGTTGGGGATGTGCAGGAGGCAGCCTATCAATGATTCTCTTTCATCATTGATGTTTCTGTCTCTCTCCCTTCCTCTCTGAAATCAATGAAAATATATTTACAAAAAGTATCTGCTTAAAAACAGATTCTAAATTGGGGTTTAAGGTTATCTCTGAATCATACTTATCCCTCAAGGAATTATATATATTACCAACGCGATCATCCTGTATAATAAAAGGCCAGCGACCATAACGGCGTAACGACCGATCGACCAGTCGCTATGAGGTGCATTGATCACCTCTTGGTCCCTCTCCCCGGCCCACAGGCTTCGATCGCTGGATGGTGAACGGGGAACCACGGGGAACCGGGTTGGGTGGCAGCGGGGCGGGACCGGGGACTGGCGAGTGGGCGGAAGATGGCCCTGATGGCAGGCTCGGCCTAGGGGCCCTACCCATGCACGGTTTTGTGCACTGGGCCTTTATTTTCTAATAAATGGACCAGCCCACTGGGACCAACAGCATAACCTGCAGGGCCCATTGGGAATGAAACAGTGAGACCCGTGTTCAAAGGTGACAGCAGAGCTTCAAGCCCAGTGTCCCCCAAAGGTGGGCTCTGTGCTTTGCTGGTGTCAGGCCAGAAGCTGCCCTACCTGATGGTTAGGAAACACTGTATCCTAGGGCTCAACAAGGTTTCAGCAAGGGGCAGTCCCAGCTGACTTACTGACTAGAAGTCCTTACCGTGAACATGGAAGTACACTTGTGGGTTGACCAAGTGAGTGCTTGTAAATATTAGGGGGGGGGGAAATATATATATATACACACACACACACACACACCAGAGGCCCAGTGCATGAAAATTTGTGCACTCAGGGGGTCCCTCAGCCCACCTGCACCCTCTTGGAGTCCGGAAGCCCTCAGGGGATGTCCGACTAACAGCTTAGGCCCGCTCACCCTGGGGAATGGGCCTAAGCTACAGTCTGGCCTCCCTCTATGGGAGGCGACCAGTGGGCCAATTGGGGACGGCCAGCGAGTGGCTGGCCTGGGTCCCCCCCGATCACCCCTCTGCCACCTCTGGTCGTTGCCACCCCCTGATTGCCATCCCCTCCCTCTGTCCATTGGCACTTGCCTTGGCTGGCCTGGAGTTGCCTGCTCACCAGCCCCGCCCCTCACCAACCCGTCATTCTGCTGTTTGGTCGATTTGCATATTACACTTTTATTATATAGGATTATCCTCACCGAGTATGTGTATTGATTTTTTAGTTTTAGAGAGAGGGGAAGGGAGAGAAAGAGGAACATCGATATGAGAGAGAAATGTCAGTCAGTTGCTGCTTCCCATACACACCCCAACTGGGATTAAACACGAAACTTGGTTATGTGCCCTGACGGGGAATCAAACCTGCAACCTTTTGGTGTACAGGATGCCGCTCCAGCCCGCGGAGCCACCTGGCCAGGGCTGTTAGAATATGTTCTAAGAGCTTCTGACAGTTGCCTGGTATAGACCACCTTATCTCACCTTGCCTTCTTTTTGGAAAGCATTTTGTAGAAAATCTTCAGATTACAGAGGCTGGTTTTGGAAAAAGAAACAGAGGCTGGGTGATTGTGCATGTCCCTGTTCGGAAGAGTTACGGGGTCTCTGAAAACTCACACAGGCTGCTTTTTTGTTTGTTTGTTTTTAATATGTTTTTATTGATTTCAGAGAGGAAGGGAGAGGGAGAGAGAGATAGAAACATCAATGATGAGAGAGAATCATGGATCGGCTGCCTCTTGCATGCTCCCTACTGTGGATTGAGACTGCAATCCGGGCATGTGCCCTTCACCAGAATCGAACCCGGGACCCTTCAGTCCGCAGGCCGGTGCTCTATCCACTGGGCCACACCTTCTAGGCTGCTTTTGTTTCCAGTTGCAAATTCAATGAAGAGAAAGGGCTTTGCTTTTCCTTTGTTTTAGATACTTTAATGTGTTTGGGATATTTCAGTTACACCAATAAATTAATTTTGAGGCCTTTCTATAATTATGAGCGGAAACCACCCACATGCCTGTCAAAAGATGAGTGGACAACAAGACATCGTGTGCTCCTACGAGGGGATGTCATTGGGCCATTATTCAGCCATTAGAAGGGCTGACATACTGACAAGTGCTGCAGCATATGTCACGCTCAAAAACACGCCAAGTGTAACATGCTAAGTGAAAAGAGCTTCTCACAAAAAATCAGTGTATGACCCCATTTATAGGAAATGTCCGGAACAGGCGAGTCCGTAGAGACAGGAGTAGGTCGGTGGTTCCCTAGGGCCTGGAGCTGGGGAGATGGGGGTGACTGCTAACGGGCACCGGGCTCAGGGGGAGGTGAAACCTTCTGAGAGGGATGGTGTGCAGGTGGTCCACCCTGCTGGACACGTGGAAAGTCACTGAGTCACGCACTTTAAGCGGGAAAACGTACGGCCTGTGATCGCATTCAGCCCTGAGGAGGGTTATGCGCCACGAGAAGCGATTCTGGGACCTGAGCTCCATTTGTCGTTCCAGCCCCAGCAGCCGCGAGTGGTCCGACGTCACTGTAAGCAGCGTCGGGGTGAACTGTTCGAAGATCTCGGCGACCGAGTGTGACTTCACCCCCACCAGCCTGTCCCGGGGTTTCCTGTGCTACTTCAACGTCTCCCTGCGCGTCCGGGCCGAGCTGCCGGGGCTGCCGGGGCGCGCCTCCGCCTGGGCCTCGGTGCCCTGGTTCCAGCACTACCGCAACGGTGAGCGCGGCGGCCGTCAGCCGTCCCCTCGCGTCCCTCTCCACCAGGCTGAGTCTGGGTCCTGCCTCTCACCCTGAACCACCAGCAGAGGGGGGGGCGCACGGCACACCCAGGTCCTGGCTGTGATGCGCAAACCCGGGCCTGGCCGCCCACCTGGTGCTCAGGGCCTGCGACCTGCTTAGGCCAGGGCCTGGCAAACTGCTGCCCGCAGGCCAAGCCCGGCCCACCGCCTGTCTTTATAAGTAAAGTTTTATTGCTCTGCAGCCACACCAGCTTCTAGCTGGCTGCCTTAGCTGCCTTAGGTGCCTTAGGTGCATTAGCTGCATCAGCTGCCTTAGTTGCATCGGGACGTCTGGCCTGCAAAGCTGGGGTTTGCCCGGGCCTTAATGAAAGGTGTGCTGGCCTCGTCCCATGGGTCCCAGCGTGTGGGCGGCTCGGTCTCCCTCCCCTGACCTGGCACAGCTTCCTTTGTGTTCTAGAAAGACTTTCATTCTGCAAGGGCCATGCCTGGCACGTGGGACAGGCACAGAGAATGACTGATGATGCTCCCTGCTTGCTCGTGCGTTCCCTCGGGGGTCGTTTTCCACTCGTGACTGTGGTTCACGCAACGTGAAGGGCGGGGGTGACGGAGACCCCGATGTAAACGAACGGCTGCGAGGCCCTGGGGAGAGGGGACCATGGCCTGGATACTGATGACACTGAGCCGTTGTTATTCCTGTGTCAGGTGTTCGTTAGAACGGTATTTCGTTTGTTTTTAAAAGGGGTCCTGTTGTTTAGAGATACAAACTGAAGTATTTACAGATAAGATGATGTCTGAGATTCAATCATAATAATCCAGAGAGGCCCGGCCCATGTGGCTCAATGGCTGAGCCTTGACCCTGGAGGTCAGGGTTCGGGTCCCGGGCAGGGCACATGCCGGTTGCGGGCTCACTCCCCAGTGGGGGCCTTGCAGGGACAGCTGACCCCATTGCTGCCATCCCCACAGGTGGAGGGGGATGAGCGAGCAGCGTGATGATGGTCCCCCGGCGCTAGAGATGTAAGGAGCTGCCGCATAGACCGGGCTCACACCCCAGCTCTGCCACTCACTGGCTGTCACTGGGCCGTGAGGTCACCTCCTGTGGCTGCTCTGCCATCTGGTGGACACGGTGACGTCATGCTGCCTGGTGTGTAGTCGCTCAGGACAGGGCCACTGCTGTCCACAGCCAGTCCGGTGGTCAGCGCTGAGCAAAGGCCCAGGGCCCTCAGGAGACGGCTTGTCAGTTGGTGTCAGAATCCAGGCCGGGGACACCCCGCAGAAGGGCAGGTCTTCGGGCACAGACGTGGCAGCAATTAAGTGCTTGGTCAGGGCTGGTTCCCAGACCCCACGCCTCTCCTGTGGGTAAGTCATGGAAAAGTCTAGAGTCAGCGGTTCTCAACCTGTGGGTCGCAACCCCTTTGGGGGTCGAACGACCCTTTCACAGGGGTCGCCTAAGACCATCGGAAAACACATATATAATTACATATTGTTTTTGTGATGAATCACTCTGCTTTAATTATGTTCAATTTATACTGTATTAAAGGGTCGTGGCATTAGGAAGGCTGAGAACCGCTGGTCTAGAGACTGCCTTGCGGAGGGTGCCTGGCAGCGGGGGCCCCAGCCATTGCTCTGAAAAAGGGAAGCTGGGGCCTGGTGGTATAGCTCAGCTGTTGAGCATCGACCCAGAACCAAGAGGTCACGGGTTCGATTCCCAGTCAGGGCACAAGCCAGGGTTGTAGGCTTGATCCCCTGCAGGGGACATGCAGGAGGCAGCCGGTCCATGATGTTTCTAGCTCTCCCTCTCCCTTCCCCTCTTCCTAAAATCAATAAAAAAACATATTTAAAAAATAAATAAAAGTAAAAGGGAAGCTGGTGGCAGCACCTGCGAGCAGGGTCCGTGAGTGAGCTGTCGCTCGCGGCCCGTTGCCACCTCCTCGCCCGCAGCGGGCCGGCCCGCCCTGTCCCTGTCCCTGTCCCTGTCCCGTCAGGATCAGCTCCTCCAGCAGAGCAGGTGCTCGGAGGCGCAGGGGAAGCCCGTGGCTCGGCACAGAGAGGAGGGTGCTGACCATACGCCCGACCCCCCCAGGGGAGCGCCTAGGGCACGGGGAGTCGGGCCACTGTCATGAACACAGCCTCGCGCAGCACTGTGATCGTCTGCGGATGTGACATCTGCGTGTGTGATGTCTGCATGTGTGACATCTGCGTGTGTGTCTGCATGTGTGGTGTCTCTCTGTATGATGTCTGCATGTGTGACATCTGCGTGTGTCTGCATATGTGGTGTCTGCATGTATGATGTCTGCATGTGTGACGTCTGCGTGTGTGGTGTCTGCCTGTATGATGTCTGCATGTGTGACATCTGCATGTGTGTCTGCATATGTGGTGTCTGCATGTATGATGTCTGCATGTGTGACATCTGTGTGTGTGTCTGCATATGTGGTGTCTGCATGTGTGGTGTCCACCTGTATGATGTCTGCGTGTGTGACGTCTGCATGAGCAGCCTCTTTGAGCTTGGAGGGCCAGACCTGCACTGCTCCCGGAGTTCATTTGGTTAACTGTACACCGTATTTCTTGTTAATCCTCACCTGAGGATATTTTTCCCATCGCTTTTTCAGAGAGTTGGGGGTGGGGGGAGAGAGAGAGAGAGAGAGAGAGAGAGGCATCAATCGGTTGCCTCCCACATGCACCCACAACCCAGGTGTGTGCCCTTGACTGGGAATCAAATCCCAAGACCCTTTGGGGTGCCACCGAGGCTCTAATTACTGAGCAGCGCTGGCCAGACGGCAGTTTAAATGCTTGCTTGATAGTGTTGTCATTCGTGACTCATGTCAGCACCATGAGTCACGGCCTGGCTGGCCTGTGAAGGGCATGAAAAGCCTTGACAAGTAGACTTTGGTGGTAATATTTCTCAGTGGTGGTATTTCGGCACTGGGTCACGATAAGCTGGGAGACAAGTGCTGAAAAGCCTTGACAAGTAGACTTTGGTGGTAATATTTCTCAGTGGTGGTATTTCGGCACTGGGTCACGATAAGCTGGGAGACAAGTGCAGTTACCTAACAAGATGTACACGGTAGGGAAGGGCCACCGAGGTCTTTTCCCGTCGCATGAAAATGACCCTGGTTAGCTTTCCTCTCGGCTTCTCTGGAACCTGATCAAGGTGGCTGTCCGCCAGGAACCTGGCGGGATTGCAGTGGGCAGCGGGGCCCTGGCTGGCACGCCGCCTTTCAGCCGGAACGGCCTGCAGTCCTGGCTCTGCTGAGCACAGTAGTTCTGGGAACTGGGCGGGGACTCTGGGCGTATTCTTGTGGAATGATGATAAGAGGTAGTGCTCGAGCCGGGTTGGCTCAGTGGATAGATAGGGCGTCAGCCTGAGGACTGAACGGTCCTTGGGCTCAATTCCGGTCAAGGGCACGTACCTCGGTTGCAGGCTGGATCCCCAGTCCCAGTCAGGGGCAGGAGGCAACCAATGGATGTGTCTCTCTCACACTGATGTTCCTCTCTCTGTCTTTCCCCCTCCCTTCCACTCTCTCTAAAAAATCAATGGAAGAATATCCTCGTGTGAGGATTAACAACAACAAAAAAATCTATCTATCTATATATATAAAAAGCCAGCTACGTAATGACCAGAATGACACAGAACTACACAGCCTCTCGCCCAGGCTGGCCCCGCCCCCCAGGGAGTGGTTAGGGGCGCCCCTAGGCAACGCATAGGATGCGAGTTGGACGGGGGGGAAAGTTGAAATGGGGGGAGGTCTTAAGGGTCTGCGGGTTGGGGTGGTCGGCCCGGTGTAGGTTTGGGATGTGCTGGGGAAGGAAGAGGAAGATCCGATTGGAAACGGCCCAGCACAGTACCTTTCTCACTGCGAACCGGGACGTGGACTGAATGGGTGGTTGTTTCACGAGTGCGCTTGGGACCCACGTGTTCACGGCAGCGGCAGTGCCCGCGATACTTCACTGATTCCAAGTAGTAAACAGCCATCAACGCCGGAACAGAAAAATCCTCTCCCACTAGAGGCCCTGGACGTTGCAACACGACCGAAGGAAACACCACTTAAGGAGCTAGAGAAACCCGAAGTGTGCAACCAGAGGATTGTGGGATAGTGGAGGACGCCTGGGCGCTTAGAGGATTGTGGGATTGTGGAGGACGCTGGGCGCCTAGAGGATTGTGGGATTGTGGAGGACGCCTGGGCGCCCACCGCTAGAACGTGAGCCTGTTACTGCGCATGTGCATAGTCGGCCCTCTAGGCCCCAGTCTCAGTGTTTGGAGGCGACTTCTGGGGGGAAATTGTGTCCATTGAGGTTTGCTGTCGCCTGTGGGGAGGAAGCTCAGGATGAAAGGTTTTGTTTGTTGCCTGGGTTTGAAGCGGAGGACAAGCCGCGAGTAGGACCGGCTCTAGGAGGAGGCACACGCCCAGGAGCACGGAGGAAGC